CTGAGAAAATAGGAATCAGATTTGAGATCTAGATTGACTTGATTGGGGATTAACATGATGTGGAGGGATAAGAGAAAGGGAATAACTGTGAAGTTGACAACTTGGGAGACTCAGAAATAGTATCTGACCTTTTTGACCAAAATTGAGAGTCTAAAAGAAGCAACATGTTTGAAAGGTAAAGACTTTTGGAGGCAAAGGCTGTTCCAGGTTATAATCACAGATGAGAAGATTGATAATAACGGCCAAGTTAACAGCAACAGTGTGGGAGAAGTATGGCCACAAAGGAGGCAACCAGAGTAGCAAAGTGTGGTGAGACCATTTGTAGCAGGAGCTGACTCTCAGGAGGGTCCCTGAATCTTTAAGAGCAGTTAATCTGTTTACTGAGTCAGGGAAGAGGGATAGTGTATTTTAGAGAGTTTTCCACATGATTAAATTTAAAGGTTTCAAGGTTTGGAGAATTAATTTTCACTTATTTGGAAGGAATTCTGTAATCCAGAACCTGTAATCCCTTCCAAATAAATGAAGCATTGTACCAGCTACATGTCAACATGTGGCAAGGCCTGTTTACTGATTCTTGCTGTAGACTCTGAGTGATTTTAAAAGAGATTAAATTGTGTTTAGGACATTGTTTAAGGAAGCAATAAAAACTTACATTTTACATTTATTAAGAAAGATTTCATTAAAAATTTAAGCTTTAACTCCTAAAGTAATAATACCTCTCTTTTTCCATTCAGAACATGTACCTATCTACTGATATTTTCCCAATATGTTAATCAAGATTATAGTTTCTTAGAATGTGATTTTGTTTTTTCTAAAGGCGAGTCAGAAGCGAATGTATGATGCATTTTGAATCTGTGAGTCTCTAAGGAGAATATACTAGCTGCTGTTAAGAAAGTGCTCACTATATGACACTTGTATTCCTTATTATTATTATTTTTTTAAAATTGAGTCAGGTTGTTACTTTGTCGCCCTGACCGGAGTGCAATGGCATGATCACTGCTCACCACAACTTTGACCTCCTGGGCTCAGGCAATTCCTCTGCCTCAGTCTCTTGAGCAGCTGGGACTGCAGGTGCACGCCACTATGCCCAGCTAATTTTTGGATTTTTTGTAGAGATGAGGTCTCTATGTTACCCAGGCTGATCTCAAACTCCTGGAATCAGTCATTTCTCCTGCCTTAGCCTTCCGAGTAGCTGGGACTACAAGCACATGCTACCTGGCTAATTTTTGGAATTTTTGTAGAGACAAGATTTCACTATGTTGCCCAGGCTGGTCTTGAACTCCTGGGCTCAAGTGATCCTTCTGCTTCAACCTCCCAAAGTGCTGGGATTACAGGCATGCACCACCATGCCTAGCTTTGTACTCTTGAATTATAGACTTCATGGCAAATTTGAAATTGCTGGTATATCAATTTCAAATTTTGTTGTTGTAATGAAACTGCAATAATGTGTAGTAAGGAAAATACTAGGTAATTTCTGTTGGAAAGTGATATCCTTAGTGATGGCAGGGCAGCACATTTCAGTAGAAGTCCCTAGGAAGAAAGGTTACTGGAAGAGGCTAGGTGTTTAGTTTTTCTGATTTTTGTGGCATGAGCACTTTAAATGTCAAACACAGAGATAAGATAGGTGCTCTCATAAAGTTTTTATAGTTAAAAACCTCATAATTTCTTTGTGGCTAGATATTTAGTGGTGGAAATACTTTTGAAATACCTGGCTTCTTGGGTGTCTTACAACTTAGACCCAGACTCTGAATTGCTATGTACTTTTAATACATGTACTTTTTGTATGTGTGTTCTTTCTGGTTCTTAGATCTGAGTCATTGCTTTTAAAGACTGAAGCTGAAGAATAGAGGAACTTCCTCACACAGGTCTCTTGGTGGTCCCCCCACAACTTTGAGGATTTAGTTTTTAAATGAAGTTGGGGGTGAAAGGTAGGCAAAGGGTTAGAGAAAGATACTGTCCTTAAATTGCCCCTGCATTGCAGGGCAGCAGTGTTTTACTCTCACATAAAAGCTTCTCTGATAGGAATGTGTGGAATCCTAACTTTGTAAATAATTCAGCTTAGTGTTTGTTTACTGAAAATGCCTAAATAGATTAGAGTTTAGAGAAAAGTGAGACTACAAGTTTGTACGAGCAGGATTGTACATATTACTGTTGATGGGAACAGTTTAAAACCAGGTTTTCATTTCTATTAAAATTTGCTGTTAAGTTTTAATGTAGGGTAGTTTCTGATCTGACCAGTTATAATCAAATCAAAATGTAGGTTGTATAACTGCAAAATCCTGTTGCAACCATTAGTGCCTGCTGTTTAAAAAGATCTAAGTTACTAAAAATAGTAAGAATCACAACAGAAAGTGTCTCTCACCCAGATTAGCTCCAGGAACTAGGGCTGGCTAATGAGCTACATTAGCAAGACTAGGAAGAGTAAGGAGGGAAGCATCTTGCATTCTGACTTTTCCTAGGACTCATGTCCCTTTCATTTGATGTGGAATGGAGACTGACACATCTTAAATCTAATCTCTCAAAACTATTATATAAAATAAAATGTTACCATAGAAATTTCAGAATTATGGAACTCATGAAATTAACTTAGAACATTTTTTTAATAAGTTCTGTTCATTTATCAAGGAATTAAAGTTTACTAGAAATAAAATGCATCTTGTATTTAATCATTATGTACCTAATATAAATTTGAGAATTCTTTCTTATCCCACTTCTTTTATGAACATTTTCTAACAGGAGGAAAATTTCAAAGAATAGTTGTGTGAACACTTGTATTTCTATCACTTGGATTCAAAAATTGTTAACATTTATTCATGTTTGTTCTATAGTGCTATCTGCCTTTCTCTCAAAACAGTTTTCCTTTGCTTGGGTTGAGTATTTGAAGGTACCGCCCAGATATGTGTCAAAGTTATTCTCTCTCCCATTTTTTAAACAGTTTTATTGAGCATTAATTTACATAACATGCAACTAAAAGGATTTTTTTTATAACTTTGAGAACCAAATCCAGTTAAGGTTCACACTCTGCATTTTATTGTGTCTTGCTCTCTTTTATTTTAGACCATACTTCTGCTTTTTTACTTTTAAAAACTAACTTTTTTTTTTTTTTTTTTGAGTTGGAGTCTCACTCTGTCACCCAGACTAGAGGTCAGTTGTGTGGGATTGGCCTGTTCTTTTGGTATCATGTTGATAGCTTGCTGGGTGTAGTTGTCTAAACATGGAAGCTTAACATTGAGATTGCACATGTTCATATGTAAACACAGAAATCAGAGTCAGGATAGATCTTTGATAGTCAGCAATTTTTATATGGCTATGCACTTCTTAGAATTTAATTGAAAGCTTTGAATTGTTAATTTAACAGGAGAGATGTTATAATTGTTGGTTCTGAGTAGATCTTTGTCCATTTGTTAACAGCTCTTTTATTTGAGGTGAGGAGATTGACAAAGAAAACTTGGATTAAATCAAGGAAAATGACCATTTATCCAGTTAAATAACTTAACCTAGTAGAAATACCATTTCAGTTTTAGGAGTGTAGGTTTGATATTGTAGAAATAAGGGATAGAGAGTGTAGCATATTCTATGAAGAGAGTTTACCTTCCTACTTTATTGGTCTCCTGTCAGTGTGGCATGAGAAATATTGGAACTGTTTTATTGTTGGTTTTTAAATAGCACAGATGTTTTTCATTTGTCTCTTTATGTTGGTTAAATTATAGTACAAAGTGTACTGATATTTGATTTACTGAATCAGTTCTGAAATCTTTGCTCACATTCATATCCTGTTCAGTCTTCAGGTTATATTTAAGCACAAGCTTTGCTCGATACTTTGACATAAGGAAGATGGGGGTGAGCCAGTAGGACATTTTTTCAGTTTGTAATAGAGTCTAGTTGTTTTTTTGTTGTTTTTTTTTTTTGATGGAATGAATGTTTCAGGCCTATATGCTTTTTAAATAAAGTGAAGCTTCAGCAGAGTCAGGTAAGGAATCTTGTAGCCCAGCTTTTCATATCTTTTTTATTCAAAATTGCTTTTTTAAGTGGTTAATGATCCCACAAAGGTAACACTGTATTCTCACCAAAAGTATGCTTAGAATTTTACGGAAATTATTTCTGTGAACATAATAAATAAATATGCATAGACTGTTTGCTCCCTGATGACAGGTACTTTGTTTTGTTCATGACTATATTTTTCAACCCTGAGAACCATGCTAAATGCACAGTTAATTCTCAATAAATGTTTGTGAAATGAATGTAAAATCTTATAGCTGAGTGTGTGCATCTGTTGTATTAGTTAATACCACAAGGTGGTACTGTTGTACCATGCAATGAAAGCCTGAAATTCTCAGGCTCTTATATGGTACTACATAAATCCTATGACTAAATGAAACGAATTGACTACCTATTATGTTTATTGCCTGCTTCACTTATTTATAATTTTAACTTGTGATTAGTTTTTGATTACATGATTGGTGTGGGTCGGGCAATGAGATCGTAACCTAAATAAAGAACATTTGGTTCAAATTTTTATAAAATATTAAATGTGATAGCATCTATAAAAACCTAGCACAGTACCAAGATTAGTTTCCCTTTCTCTCTTTTAATTTACTTTGAGCCAAAAGCCTTTGTTAAATTGCTATTTGTGTTTGAATAATTTGCCAACAATTTTCTAATGAATTTTCACTGACTTAAATAACGCTATAAGACTGTTTTGTTTGTCAAAAGATTTTTAAAAATTAATACAAACTTAGATTTTACTGTATTTTTATCCCCCACAAACTTTTCAAAATTTTGCTTTTATGTTTCTTCTGTGGGGTTGCTAAAACAATTTGAGAATGTATAGTTTTTTATTGTATATTTGTATGTGTATGATCATGGTCAATTTATAATTTATCTTGGTTTTGGCCCTATTGTAAAACTCAGCATTAAAGTTTGTTTTGTAGCTTGGACCTTTTTTATTTCCTTATGATTAAATTGACTTTGGAATATTTTGAATCTGTAATTTTCCTCAGACTGAAGTGAAATCAGAAGAGGGCCCGGATTGGAAAATCCTACGTGATGATTTCATGATGGGAGCATCTATGAAAGACTGGGACAAGGAAAGTGATGGACCAGATGACAGCAGACCAGAATCTGCAAGTGACTCTGATGCATAAAGCATTGTAGAAAATACAATTTGCAATCACTTTATTTTTTTCTAGAAAAATAATTCATCCTCTGATAGTTGGGGAGTTATAAGAATACCACTTGTAAGAAAGCAAAAAGACTTTTACCAGCTTTGGTATTCCCCCTTTTCACATACACTTTATTGAAATTATATTTTTCAACTCTTGGTTAATTTTAAGCATCGTTCCTTAAAACATTTGTAAGAAGAAATATTTGTGCTTTACCAGCAAGGTGTGCATTTTGCCAGGATCATGTTGGTTATGTCTATTGGTGTGTTTTTCAGGATCACCAGTGTTTCTAGAAATGTAGTATCAATTCATAATTAAAATAAACTCTTTGAAGTTCATGTTTCTCTTCCAATTTATAGGCCTAGGTGTCTATAGTTTTGAGAACAATTGATACATTTTTGTTTGTTTGGGGATGCTAGTGAGAAAACCTGTGTAGTAAAATTTAAAGTTATACTATTTCTGATTTTGGGTGGTCATTTTAACTTTCGATGATCTGGCAAATATGAACCAAAGGATTTCTACTTTTATATGGTTTCCTTTTACTACATAATACAAATAATGACTTAGATTTATTTTAAGTGTTAGGCTGTTTTTGCAAGAAAGATTTAGTCGGGTGGAAATTCTCATGATTCACTTAGGCAATAAGACACAATTTCTTGGGAAGCATATTTGATATGTTCTTGCTCTCTCTTCTTTTTTTTCCTCTCAAATTTGAGTTGGCTTAAATTCTCTTTTATGAACTGCCCAGCCAGTGAAATGATGGAGTTCGACAAGTAATCTGCAGCAGAATATTACATCTGATTTGAGACTTGTTTCCATATTGTTGCCTTAAAGTTTACTAAATTGGGTGACTTGTAGTATCTAGTTGTTAGAAAGGGGAGGGAAAGACTGTTTAATATCAATCCAAAATTTCTGTGAAACGTGGCCCAAGATCTAAAGTTTTTAAGGAAACTATTTAATAAATGTGATCTACTCTTTTCTGAAAGGAATCTATCTCTTTCACCATCTTTCCATAATAAAAACAGTTTGCCTCCTACCACCCAATTGCACATACTTGCATCTGTTGTATATTGAGGGATAATCCTTCCGCCCTGAACTGTGCTAGAGCAAAAATGTTTATATTTTTACACCTATTTGAGTGTTACTGTATTATATGACTAAAGTTAAATTAGTCCGTGGCCTGGTATTTATCATAAAGGAAGGTGTACACTTAAGATATCAAGTGGTTAAAATAGTAAATATTGCAACACATTTTTGTATTCTAACTTTTGAACTTTAGTGTCTTTTAATATAAATAAATGTGAACAAATATTCCTCAGCAGTAATGAGTGCTAAATATCTTGATGTAACTTAACACAGATTAATATTTCAGTATAACCTACAAACATGGAGATACCTTTGAAAAAAAATATATGCAGCATCTAAAAACTTTTTTGTCCCCCAAACTAAAGAGTATACTTTATTTTTTGTTATTAACTTGTTTCTGGGTTATACTAAAGTTTTATGAAAATTTTTCTGAATATTACATTTAGATGATAGAAATGGATAATTTCTTGTTTACCAAAAAGTTGTTTTGAAATTTTGCTTGTATTTTATAGTTCCTTGTTTAATTTCACAGAATTGAACAAGATTTACAAGTTGACAGTAAGGAAGAAAATATTTGCAAATTTTCATTGTTCAGAAATTATTTAATTCCAAAGTAAAGTTGAGTCATCCCTATAAGGAAAAGAAGTATCACTTATATAAGAAGACTATAAAGTATATATAAATTACATGAAATAATTTTTATCATATGGATGAAATGTCTTATGTATATTAGTATTTCTGCATCTTGAGTATACAATAAGTAAAACACCATAGTGTATAAATATGAACCTAAGGGTGAGCGTATTTTAGAAACTGTATTTTTAGATGAATGTTTGAAATAGTCTAGTTCTGTCACCTTTACCCTAAATGTTTTACCTACACACTTAAATTCTTCTGACACCAATCAGATTAATAATCTGTATTTATTTAATTTTTCTATGTTGTATTTGAATTTTTTTTAAGGGGAAGAAAGATAGAACTGTAATCTCCTCTACCTATTTGTTTAAACATAACAATATTAAGATTTTGTTTTTGGTAACTAATCACAAGAATATAGTTTTCTTTGCTTAAAAAAAAACTATAGAAAAGAGGAACCAACAATTTAAACATATTTCTTATTCCAAATATCTAGAATGCTCTAGATACTTGGATGACTGGGGTGAGTGTTGTCAGTATTTAGCATAGTTTAGGTTAAGTTGTTAATTGTTTTTAAGCATCAAAATTTGAAAGTCAAAGATAATACCTGACTGAATAATATAGGATTGAAAATAACTTAGAATCATCTTCGTAATTTAGCACTTTAGCATGGAGTTGGAGCACTGAATTTATTTCAAGTTACCTAGAATTCTGCACTGCTCAAATATTATTCAATTGATTGTAAATTATACCATGTAAATCCTTTAGATAGAATAGTTTAGAGGCTTACTGTCAGTACTTAGAGCCTAAAGTGACTCAGTAGGTAGTACTGGAAGGTTTATTTGAGGGCAGAGTGCAAGTCTTTAAAAATATTTTTTGTCTTTAAAAGAGATGGGTGAGAAAGGGATGTATAAATTCTGAGAATGAGAAACCTCTTAGGGCTTTTTAATAAATATATTTTGCACATATGGATATACTTACTATTCATTGACTACCAACTAAACTAATCCTGTTACCTGTGAAATTGTGTTATTAAAGAAACTGTAATGTTTAAGAGAATGCCTGTTAAGGTGTCTTCAAGGAACATAAACATTTCTATTAAAAAGATAGTAGGAGGTCAAATAAATAAGCTAATACTTTTGCCTCCTTTGGATAACTCTTTTTCTTCCTTATATGTATTTATTTTTAATTTTATTAATATATGTGGTCATAAATGAAATGGAAAGAAAATTTTACTTCAGAATCTTTTAATAACTACAGCATGCCATTATTGTCCTTAGTAAATTGATGTTGTACAGCATGAGTTTTATATACAGCCGACCAGTGAACAACATTGGTGTTGGATGCATTGACCCGTGCAGTTCTACCTGTGTGCAGTTCAACCCCGTGTTGTTCAAGGGTTAACTATTTATAACATTTGTAATTTCTTAAGGAAATAAACATGAGTAGTTGTAAAATAGAAACTTGTGCTTATTTTTATTAATTTTTTTGAATTGAGGTCTTTGTCACCCAGGCTGGAGTATAGTGGCATGGATCATGGCTCACTGCAGCCTCAACTTCTTGAACTTAAGTGATTCTCCCACCTCAGCCTCCTGAGTAACTGGGACTACAGGTGTGTGCCACCTCACCTGGCTAATTTTATGATTTTTTGTTTGTTTTTTTGGTAGAGATGAAGTTTTGCTATGTTGCCCAGGCTGGTCTCAAACTCCTAGGCTCAAGGGATCTTCCTGCCTTGGCCTCCCGAAGTGCTGGAATTACAAACTTGAGCCACTGAGTCTGGCTGAAATTGTGCATTTTTAACTTAGATGTAAAGTAACTTTACCATCATTTCTTGACTTAAATATCTTAGTAGAGTTAGAGAGTTAAACACATGACATTGAACACCCATTCCAGGAAGTATGCTAGAATTATTTAAGTGATTTGTTTATAGTAGAAGATGATATTATTTTAAACCTATAAAGACCAAAAAATTGACTTTTTTTAAAGTGAAATCCCTGCAGTAAGTTCTCACTGTAGGAGTTGAGTAGTGTGGCAGTTTAGTTGAACAGTGATAAATCTACCAGGACTTTAAAAATTCTTTGTTAACAGATAGCATTTTAGAAACAAAACTATAATGGAATCTAGGTTGTACACTAATGGGAATCCTAGAATAATGAACCATGTGCAGAGCTATGACTATTAGTTTGTCAACACTTCACTGATATGTTAACTTTGTTTTTATTTGGGAATGTTTTTTCCAGTGGAGATTCATCCTGCTCTTCCTCACGTTCATCTATTAGGATTGGTGTGATTGGTATTTGTCTCCACTCTGCATGTCAGTGATAGGTATAGAGGCTGTTAAGTCCTGCAGGTATTATGAGTATGAAGACTATTTGAGGTGAGTATGAGACTATTGGCAGTAAGAACAAATTTTGGAAACAGGAGAGAAAACTATTCCATGCCTACAAAAAGCTCTCTCATTCCTTCCCCAAGAAAACAGGAGTCTGACTTTTGGCCAGTTGGGTGGGTGAATCTTATTGACGATTGTAGCAGAGGTAGGCCTAGTAAATTTTTTTTACTGGGTGAGCTTTTCTGAAACTTGATTAAATGTATTAATCAAAGAGACCTACAAACAGATTTAGAAGTAGAATCTTGTTTGAGGTGGGTGGTAAGACATTTAGAATTGTGATTAATGTTTTAACAAAGTGCTGAGTAATGAATCTAGTCAGAATTGTATATATGGAAGACACATTCTAACAATTCTTAAATAATTGTAGAATCTCTAAAGAGTGTTTTCCAGCTTAGAGAACCACATTAATATTTTTCATCTAACCTACTGAGGATAATTTCAGAAAGTAGGATGTAGGGCATTTTCTCTTGGTGTTTGTAAACTTTTTTAGTTTTATTTTGTTTTGTTAAAAATACTCAGTCCAATATTGCTCACCTCTTTCTCCCTTTTTGCCTTAATTCTCAGGGTATACATACGTAACTTTCTATTAAATGCTCTTTGGTTTTCAACTCATTAAGGTAAACAAGGATATATGTTAGAGGAATGGGCATAATCCTTTATAATACAATTATAGAGACTAAAGCCTCTAAATCATTGCTGGTGATGGGACTTTCTGTGATGTTGGAAATAATTTATGTCTGTGCTATGGTAGCCACTAGTGCAAGTGGCTATTGAGTGGATCAAATGTGGCTAGTGATATGGAGGAACTACATTTTTAACTTAATTTTAATTACTTTACATTTTAAAAGCTACTTGTGGCCAGTGGGGCTATCTGAAGTATGAAGAGAATAGACTTAAAAGAATGAAGACTAAATGCAGGACATGTATTTGGTCTAAGAAAACAACAGTGAATTTTAGAATTGTAAATCTATCTTGAGCTTTTCCCATAAATGTTTATGGATGTAATTTAGGCATATACAAATATTGGTACCATTTTATTGATTGAATTATTGTTTATTTTCCCCCCACCATTTATATTTTGAAAAATATGTATTAAATTCCTTTATAATCAGATTTTAAACAGGGTAACTATTGTCCTTAAATGTTGTTAACTCACTATTAACAACAAATGGCATTTGGTTTTTTAGTATTATTTATCATCTGTAGCTTTTATGATTAATACACCAAACTTTAAATCTTATTGTTCTTCCCTGAAAGAATTGGTTTTTTGATGTATCAAAAGGAATATTTAGAATTGCCAGAGTAACAGGTACATGTTAAGTAGTGAATTCCATGGTTTGAACTTGTTTCTAGGAACCTACTTAGTTAGGAAGTTTCCTGAGTAAGTGTCTTTGTTTGTAGGATCCTAGATTTGTCTAACAATTGCATTCTGTTCTAGCACATACTCGACATACTGCCAGAGCAAATGTAGGTTGCAGATTTGGGCAAAGAAAGAAAGAAAGAAAATAAAGAGCACAATGAGCATTATTAGCATAACCAGTTTAAAATAATGAGGTGTTAACCACATTTGTATAAATAACAGTTTCTCTAACCCCTGAATCATTATCCTGCATTTTTAATGCAATCAGTTCATAAACATCAAAGTGAAAACACCAAATTTGTATGGGGTCAAGACCAACTGGGACCTGAATGGAGAGACAGCTGAGAGCTGTGTCCATATGCGTGGGTGGCCTCGCAGCTGTTGATTCACCCTCAGGCTACTAGACAGTTGCTTCTTTGCACTTACAGAACCAGACTTCAGTCTTAGGTAAAAATGTATCCCTCCCATGGAAAGGACATAAACAATGGATTGACATCAGCTCTGAAAACATCAGTGTGGCAGCCAGGCACAGCAGTTGCCCTGAAACGCAGAGTAGTACCAAGCATAACACCAGGGTGGTTTCTACACAATAATATTTGTCTTTGTACAATAACACTGGGTTCTCTTAAGTGTATTATAAATATAAAAGCTCATTGTCCAAAATGTTCAATGTGGTGATATCTTTCTTCACAAATGGTAGGAACACTAGGAATCACTACATTACCTGAGACGTTACTGTCACATCTTGGTCCTCACAAGGACTCCCAAATACACTCTTTAATAATCAGTAAAATTATGTTTACATTTTAAGAAATATCAATATTCATTGTTAGATGGGAGACAGCATAATTTTGGATTATGAACTGAGTTCAAGGTTCAGTTTCAAGTAGCTATGTGTCCTAACTTTTCTACTTTTCTCCAACCTTTTAAAATGATGGCCATGAAGATTGGTGAAAACACAGTGTCAATGAATGATATATTAACTAAACAAGGAAGATTAAAAACATTATGGATAGTATAAGTAAATTTTTTAAATGCCAAAAATGAATGAAGTGAATATAGGAATATAACAGTACTTTTTTTTTAAGAATGTAATTTTTGATATTTTAAAAAGACAGGTCTCACGTTGAGTAAAATGATCCTGACGTTTAAGAAGATACTAAAACATCTTTTTTTTGCTTATTCTGTTCTAAAACTCAACCTCTAAATACTGTTAAATAGAACACTATTAGGGTTGATTATTGCCCATATTTGATGACTGGATGAAGAGTCCTGTTTGCTAGAATCTTTCTTTATTTTTAAAAGTTTACTGATTACCCTGCAATGAATAGTGAACGTAAGAAGTTTGACTCATCTCCTCATGTGTCACCTGTTTCCCTGTGCCTCTTGATTAATAAAAATTTATTTTAAAATAACTTGTTTTCTTGGTTTTATTTTTAAAATATTGTTGCCATTTTTTTCAACCATCCCATCCCATTTTGCATAGTTCCATCACTTGTAAAGGTTGGAACAGAACAAGTGATAAAAATAGCAAACCTTTATGTATTGTATGACAGATACTATTTAAGCATTTTTTAATGCCCCCATACAGTCTTTCTAATAACCGTATTAGGTAAGTGGTGTTATTGCCCCATTATACAGATGGGGAAATAAGCAGTGGTTTAAATAACCGAAAGTCACACAACTATCTATGGTAGTCAAATCCAGGCTCAAGTCACAGAGCTGCTTTGCATAACAGTGATGCCTTGCATTTTAGATTATGTTAATGTCGTATGGCAAATGAGATCATAGAAATTGAATTCTGCTCTGGAAGAAAAAAGTGGGCATTCATCTGTTGGTCTCGTTTACTATGATACAAAACTATGGCCAGTGGAAGATAAAAGTGGATGCCATGTATCAAAAGATGAAAAATTTCTTCACAATGGCAATTTAGAATTAACATATCACCCCAGGGTTCATTGTAGTTGCTGCTGTCAGTTTACCATGCAATGTGCTATTAGAGGATCCATTATATGTCTTGCCTGAGCATGTCTGATAATTAAGACTTACAGTTTTTTTTTTAGTCAAGGTCTCACTCTGTCACCAGACTGGAGTGCACTGGTTCTATCACAGTTCAAATTCCTGGGCTCAAGCAATCCTCTAGCCTCAGCCTCGCAAGTGGCTGGGACTATAGGCACAAGCCACCATGCCTGGCTATTTTTTTATTTTTATTTTTTATACAGATTCAGTCTCATTTTGTTGCCCAGGCCAGTCTCGAACTCCTGGGCTCAAGCAATCCTCCTGCCTTGGCCTCCCAAAGTATTGGCATCATGGGTGTGAGTCACTGCGCCCAGCCGGAATTTTATATTTTAATTATCTTGATGCTGCAGAAATGTAAGTTGTGTCTATTAGAAATAGATTGATTGCTATTGCCCTTTGTATTACTAAGATACAATATACTGGCTATATGCTGCTGTTTGTTAATGATGTTATATAACTAAAGGGTATAAGTGGCTGGACATTTTTGCTGTGAAGAATTTAGATATTTAAGTTATGCTTTTAAATAAGGACTAGATTTTAGCTTAGCATGTATTGTCTAGGAGATAGGTAACTAAAATTAAGGATGTCTCATTGCTATTGATCTAGCATATTTAAAAATGCATGTTTACAATATTTATGTGAAACTAATTTTTATTTGATGTGCAGTAGCAACAAATTAATGGAAAATTAC